TGGTTCGACACCGCGCGCGACGCGTCGCCGTCGTAGACCGATCCTTTGCTTTCGGAGACCCAGTGTTTTCGGAGACCCGGTACGTTGTCCGCGCGCGCCGCGCAGGTCGGCGTCTCCTCCACGGACAGCCGGTCGTCGAGGTCGCCGATCCAGAGCGCCCAGTCGACGCCCATGGCGCCGAAATAGGCCACCTTGTTGACGAGGGCCGCCCACTCCTTGAAGACGTAAGGGATCGAGCTCGCGGCGACGACGGCGACGACGCCCCCGCGCCGGGGCGCGTCCCGGTCGAGGCCGTGGGAGCAGAGCGCCGGCGCGGCGAGGGGCGCGTGGCGGTCCCACTCGGCGTGGAACGTCCGCGGCGACGTCCGCCGCCCCGCGACGACGCGGAGCGCGGGGCCGGCACTCGCGACGCCGGCCGCGAGGCCCGTCGACGCGACCTCGAAGCGGCAGCCCACGTCGACGGGGCCCGCGAGGGCGAGCCAGGCGCAGTGGGGCCGGTGCTCGTCCTTGTCCACGAGGCATCGGTCGGCGCCGCCGCTGCGCCACCGCTCGACCCAGGCCGCCTCCGTGTCGCCGCTTCGCGGGACGGACTTCATGCCTTCGGCGGCGAGCGCGCCGAGGACGACGAGGGCGACGGCGAGGGGCATCGCACCTTGGGCCGTGGGCGGCGGCGCGACTCGTCCCTTGCGTCGGTTCTCCGACGCGTCGACGAAGACTTCGTCGCCGAATGCCGCAAAGTCTGCCAAAAAAAAGGAGTCGCGAGAGGTGCGCCGGTTGTCTGTTGTGCGCTGTCGCCGTCGAGCGATGATCCCAGAAGCAATCCAAAATGCTGTGCGTTACGGACACATAGAGACGCTACGAAGTTGGCTCGAGTCTGGGGCTCCGCGCGACGTGAACGAAAGACTCCCCGGTATTTTTTGCACCCTGCTGCTTTTGTCTTCGCCGGCGGGGGCCCACGCCGCAGGTCGAAAGAACAGAACCGCCATCCAAAAGCTTCTCCTCCAGCACGGCGCCGATGCAAACGCCAAAGCTGACAGTGGTATAACAGCCCTTCATTGGTGTGATCATCCCGAAGAAGCGGCGCTACTCCTCGATCACGGCGCCGACATCGACGCTCTGACCGACTACGACGTAACGCCGCTGTGGAACAACGTTAGTAACGTTGATCTCATGCGCCTCCTCCTGCGTCGTGGGGCGAACGTGTTTCTGACTGACAATCGCGGAGTAGATGCCGAATTAAAGGCGCGCAGACTTGCCGGGATCTCAAGGAACGCCGAAGCGCGTCAGATCTTTATCAAAGCAGCGAATTTCCTCGCGGAGGTCAAGGTCGCGGGAAGCTGGCGGGCGTATTGGCGGGCGCCGCGCGTCGAGCTCGTGCGGCTCCGTTCTCTCTGCGACCGCGGCCGCGCGGAATCGCCCTCTCCCCGGGCCTCCTCGGGCTTGAACGAGCTCAGCGTGGCGGAGGCCAAGGTCTTCGAGCGGCTCTTCGGGGCTCCGACGCGCCGTCTGCCGAATGAGATTTTCTGGACGATCCTCACGTTCTGGCGGAGCAGCCGCGACGACGACACCGACTAGGCGCGCCCACACATGCGCTAACCCTTACTCGCACCAGTCGTCGCCCATGGCCCAGCACGTGTCGCCCGTGAGGTTGTACCACGTGTCCTCGTTGTTGTTGCCCGTGCAGCCGCACTCCGCGGGCGCGTCCGCGCGGTCCGCGTCGCAGTGTTCGAACTGGTATTCCAAAGCAAAAGGGCCGTCGTAGCCCGCGTAGAACAGGTGCGCGTCCGGCTGCTGCCTCTCCGCGTACGGCACGTCCGCCAGCAGCACGCGCAGCGCGGACGCGCGGGCCTGGCAGCTCGCCTCGCCGCCCGAGTACCAGATGCCCAGGTGCTGGTCCAGGTACCGGTCCCAGCCGTCCGGGTTCTGCTCGCCGTCCTCGTAGAGGAAGGCCTCGTGGTCGCGGCGCACGTAGGCGTCGTAGTCCGCGAGGGACCGCGACCCGCTCGGGGCCGCCAGGTTGTCGACGAAGCGGATCGCGACGCCCGGCTGCGAGTCCCAGCCCATGTCGACGACGACGCACGTCGCCGAGTCGTGGGTCACGTTGTGGGACGCGCCCGTGAGCACGGCCGCGTGCTCGTAGCGCGCGGCCGCGCCCGCGGACGTGACGCCGTGCTGCGTCACGCCCAGCGTCACGGCCAGCAGCGGCTCGTTCGCGTAGAGCGCGAAGTCGTCGTCGGCGTCGTCCGCGAGGCCGACGAGGTCCGACAGATAGGCGAGCGTGAAGGGCAGCGCGTGCGCCGCGGGGCACTCGTCCGCGCTCCACGCCGGCGCGTCGACGCCGGGCATGTCGCCCGCGGCGCCGACGAGCTCGAAGACGACGCCCTCGACCTGGAGCCCGAGGTGGAGCACGTCGGCGCCGTCGGCGTCCACGGAGGACCGCAGCATGAGCGGGATGCCGTCGGCGATTAAAGGCCCCGCGTACGTCGCGAGGTCCCGCGCGTAGAGGACGACCTTGTTGTGCATAAAGGCGTCGAAGGTCCGCATGTCGCCGTGCAATTCGCGGAAGTATGTGATCCAGCCGTCGGCCTCGCCGAGGTCGTCGAAGAGGGGCGCCGCGAGGAACTGGAGCGCGCCGGAGTGCGTGCCGAAGCGCACGCCGAACTTGGCCCGCCGCACGGAGCAGCCCAGGTCC